TTTTTTTTTTTTAGCTGGTATATATGTGCCAGTTCATCACCATGTTGGGCAAATATTTTTTTAGTGTTTCGAGAGATTATTATTACTATTATTGCTAGAGTTACGAAATAATAATCTCGCGTCGCGAATTATAGCTACAAATGATTGATTTCGGTTTTGAATTGGAAACGAATATTTATTTCGATTTGCATTAGAGTTGCGTTACAATGATGATCGTGTTTGTTTTAGCGTTGCGATTGTTCCTGATATTTTCAATTATAAATTGTGATTTTTCAAACAGTATTGCTATTTCGTTTGAAAATGAATTAGAAAAATGTTGATCTTTGTACTGTTATGATGTAGAAAAATAGCAATTATAGTTGTGATAATTTTACGTCGCGATCGTTTTAATTAATTTTCCAGCTAGCGTTGTACTGACGAATGATCGCGTTTCTCTCATTAGTGTCGCATTTATAAAATGCCAAAAATCCACCAGATTTGTGGAAATGTATTTTTGTTTTTGGATCACCTAATGCAACTGAAAAGGTTGTACGTATATCAACAACTTCTAATACTACATAGTGTTTCATTTATTTGAATTCGAATGTTTAAATTCGTTTTTGTTTAGAGTTACTTAAGTAATTAGAACGCTCTATATTGGAAAGGGAACTTTATTAGAAAAATGATTGTTTCTGAAAAAAAATCTGTGATTAAACGTTGCGATTTACAGTTCAAATTTTCGATTTCGCGTAAAAATACTTAATACGGACAATTAATGTCAATTGATAATAATACAGAATAAATACGGTAAATCAATTAGAAAATTTGATCGTAAAATGCTGCTTGTTATTTCATGCGGAAATATTTGAAAAATTTCAAACGACGACGAGTATGGATTTTGATGATTCGCTGCGCATCCTTCGTTCAATTTTAAACAAGCTTTTCATGGTAGACTGTTTGCTATATTCCATGGTGCAGTCTATGCACACAGATAGTAACCGGTATGTTTCGTTTAATATTTTACAAGTTTAATGTTTGCCATTTCGATCGGATTCAATTAATGAAACGCAAAACAAACAAGCGAAGTGTTAATATTTGAAGAAGGCGCGGCGTTCCGTTTCGATGAGAAATGCTTAATAATTTATACTGCGATTCGTTTTGTCTGATAACAGTATATTTCATACAGCAGAGGAATCGGAAATTAATCCTTTGTTAATTCGTCGTTAATCCCTTTGAAATCGTAGATAGTGTGAAATCAACTGTTGGTCAATCTTTATTATTACAATCTTGAAATTGAGGCTATTTTAACAGACTTAAAAATTTTGAAATACCTGCAAACATTTTACGACAACATGGATGCTTCTATAAGAAGTTAATAAGAAATTAATTATTCTAGATCTCAAAAGTGAACTTTGTACTATAATTTCAAAAAGAATGTTAAAATTCACGGAAATTATAATTCAAAAAAATTATCTCATTACTACGTATACATGTTTCTTGAAAAATTTATTTTTGTAGAAATTAACATATTCATAAAAATTCACGTACGAATTATAGAAGAAATAATATTATTTTAATGAAAGTTTCAGTGAAGTTTTAGTACTGTCCAATTCACAATATGAACAGTAATAATTTATATATACCTATATCGTTGCTAAAACAAGAAACAACGAAATTTTATATTTATAGAGTGACTAATTACTAGTTAACTTATTTTATAAGCATTTATGTTATCGTAAAAGAGTAGATTCATATTGAAACATCCTGCTTCTGTTCAATTGACGTTCACTTGCAAATAAGAAAAGCATATCACAAAATGATCGCAACAAGTGTGTCAGG